GTAGGGATCCTGGGGTGGGGGCTGGGAGACGCACCGCGGGGCAGGCCGGGCGGGGAGGAGAGCTGGGGACAGGGCCGCCGGGGTGAGTCACCGGGCGCGGGCCGCTCGAGCGCCGGCGGGAGGGGCCTCCGAGTCGGGGGCGAGGAGCCCAGGCGCCCCAGAACCTCCGCCCATCGGCCGGCGGGGGTTGCGGCAGAACTCGGGGCAAACCCCACACTCCCCCAGGAGCCACCAAGGCGAGAGGATGACCGGGTGCGGAGACCCACTACCTGGCAATGCTACAAGCGGACCGCCGGACGGGCCTCCGGCCTTCAGACGCACACAAAGGGCCACCCCCCTCCTTCCGTCCATTCATTTTTTTCACCCCTGATTGAACACCATCCACTGATGAGCTGGGGCCGCGCGCTGAAGCTCCCACAGTCTGTGGGGAAAGGGACTCCTGACCGACAGTCTCCACGCTGGGCGACAAGTGCTGTCCCAGCGCTATCAGTCGGGCGCCGCGCCAGCTCAGAGGGCCCGTCTAAATTCGTCTCCCGGCCCCCACTCTCACCCTCCTCACTAGCCGGGAGAGGGTAGGATGGGGTGGCGCCGAGAATGGCCGTTATTAGGACCCTGAGAGGTGAGACCCTCTCGCCTTCTGGGTGGGGGGGTCGGTTTGAGAACTTAGAACTTGCCCAGAATCCTCAGTCCCTTCCCCCACCGAGGGCAGAGGCCCGCCAAGTGAGCTGAGCATGTGTGGATGTCAATCCCGCAGCCCCTCTTCCAGGCCCCCTCCCCAGCCCTGCAGGGCTCAGGTTACCCCTGGCCTTTTCTAAAGGGCACTTGTTCCTCTTTAACCTTTGCAAAAGAGGAATATAATCCTGGGGAGGGGAGAGACCCCCCAATATGAAGCCTCTCCTCTGCCCCTCCCAACGGGTGGAATTAAAAGTAGAGACTTTTATTGGGGGACAGAGAGAAAGTGAGGGCAGTCATTGACCTCTGGAAAGTGGGCAGGTGCCCAGGGCCAAAGACTTCTGCTTTAGGCTGTAGTGGGCACTTGGCGGCCAGCCCCGTGTGGAGGGGGGAGGATGGACAGAGAGGCGGGGCTGGCTGGGGGATAGTGTGGCTCAGGGATAAATGCCCAGCCTGAGAGGGGGTGAGCTGACACTGTCCCAGCTGCCACCTAGACTCGGAGCTCCATCCAAACCCCCAGGGAAGACATCCCAGGTCTGGTGAATCTTTCAGCCCCAGCGGGTGGAGATGATAAAGGGTAGTGCTGACTTGAGGAAAGTGGGGGAAATTTAGGCTTTTTTTCTCCCTGTGACTGAGGATGCTTGAAAAAAAAAGAGAAGCTGGAGCAGGCAGGACAGGGCAAGCTCTGGGAGTACCCAAGGGTATATTGGAAAAGGAGGCCGTGGGGAAGGGCAGGCAGGGATGGATAGAGAAGTGCAGAGTTGGAGCTGCTAGGGAATTGGGGTCCCAGGAGGGTTTAGGAGCAGGAAAATGAAAACCAGAAAGGATCTGAGGGAGAGGAAGCCATGGAGAACCGATTGCTTGACCAGAAGGGTGGAAGAACAAGACATAAGTGCAGTTTTGGGGGAGGTGGGGGTTCATGGAGTGGCAGAATCTGAAGAGTTATAAAGGAGAGGCCCCTGGATTCTTAGGATGGGAGGGTGGAATAGGAGCTGTTCTGAGTGGGGGAGGGGGCAGCCTCTTTGGTCTGTGACCTTTTTGGTGGGTATTTTTAGCTCAGGCACCTGCCTTCTTGGGGTGGGGAAGACTCTTAAAGGGCAAGGGATTTCTGGTTCCTTAAGAGATCAACTGTCCAAACTCACTCACATCTCTTGTCCTGCAGCTATGGCCATGCAGAAAATCTTTGCCCGGGAAATCCTGGACTCCAGGGGCAACCCCACAGTGGAGGTGGATCTGTACACGGCCAAGGGTACCACAGGCCCATTGAATTAGTTTGCCTCAGAAGACCCCAACCCCATCTGGCCTTTGTACCCCAATTCTGTACCACATCCTCTCCTTTCTCTGGGGTCCCCTTCCCAAAACTTTTGCAACTCTTCCAACCTGGCTCCAGAGGTAGGAGCAGCAGGAGTCTCTCTCTGCGCTGTCTCCCTGGGCTCAGAGAGAGTAGCTCACACTCAGCCCTCGGGAGGGGAGAGTGGGATGGGAACTCTTTTTGATCTTCCAATTCCTCCCGCCCAGGCCGATTCCGAGCAGCTGTGCCCAGCGGGGCTTCCACAGGTATCTATGAGGCTCTGGAACTTAGAGATGGAGATAAATCCCGCTACCTGGGGAAAGGTGAGGAAAGACCAGCGCAGAAGGAACCTTGTGTGGGTGGTTTCAGGACATGGGCACACAGGGGTAGAGGACTGGAATGCAAAGCTCTTCAGGAGCTGGGGGCTACAGGAAAAGGCCTGATTGAATCGGAGATCTGAACCCCCTCCTCTGGCCTCTCTAGGAGTCCTGAAGGCTGTGGAACACATCAACAAGACTCTAGGCCCCGCTCTGCTGGAAAAGGCAAGTGGAGGAGACTGCTCCCCTACGCTCCCCCCAACGCCCCAGCTGCCTCATCTTGGGCAGCTTCCTCCCCCAAATATCTTCACTTATCCTTCCACACATGCCCTGACTTCTGACAAATCTGACCTCTGCTCTTCCCTCAGAAACTAAGTGTTGTGGATCAAGAAAAAGTCGACAAATTTATGATTGAGCTGGATGGGACCGAGAATAAGTGTGAGTGAAGGGTTGGAGACGGGCAAGGGATGGGGAGAGACCACGTGAGGTCTGACTAGGGTTATTTCTGTGTCCCACATTTGGGGGCACATGGTAGCTGGATGGATTTTTATTCATTCCACAGGCATTTCCTGATGTCTGCCCTCTGCCAGGCCTGGGCCAGACTGTGGACACAGACTTAAATTGAAACATTCCTCTGGGGTGGGGGCTCCCAGAGCTCCTCAGGCCATGCAGGGAGAGATCTGTTAACAAACTCTTAATGCACTGTGGTTTGGAGCTCTGGATTCTTCCTGGGGTGACCAGAGGGGACGTTCAAGGAGATAACCCCAGACCCTGCAGGAGAAGATCTCACCCTTTCTTCCCACTTACCTCCTTCCAGCCAAGTTTGGGGCCAATGCCATTCTGGGCGTGTCCTTGGCGGTGTGTAAGGCGGGAGCAGCCGAGAAGGGGGTACCACTGTACCGACACATCGCAGATCTCGCTGGGAACCCTGACCTCATACTCCCAGTGCCTGTGAGTGCAGCTGCCCCTGCCAGATCCCACAGTGACAAAGCTGCCCCCACCCCGTGAGCAGTGCTTTAACAGTCCCTGGAAAATCCACCTTTCAGACCTGCTCCAAAGAAGCGGTTTCCTGAAACTGAATCTCTCCTGCTGCAGTTCGGCCCCTCCCTCTTTCCCACAATCCAAACCTTCCCTTACCAAGTAACCTGGTTCCTTCACATTCCAATCCTAGTCTCAAAAATTCCAACCTCAGCTGGCCGGTTAGTTCAGTTGGTTAGAACACATCCTCTTAACACCACGGTTACGGGTTCAGATCCCAGTACCGGCCAGCACCTAAAAAAATAAATAAATTCCAACCTTGTTCCGCCCATGCCTCCCACCCCCAGATCATTTTGAGACCTCTTTCATGGTGAGAATCTTGGCATTTCTTTGTATCTTCTTGAGTCCTTATTAAACCCATGCCCTCTTAACGGAAACCCTTTGAATTTAATCTCAATAATAATGTTACCATTTATTGTTACTTATTAGGAAGATTGTAGAAGAGCGTGGACTCTAGAGCCAAACCACTGGGTTTCGATCTTGGCTCTCCCTGTTTACTAGTTGTGTGATCTTAGGCGAATTACTTAACCTCTCCATGTCTCAATTTCCTCATGTGTAAAATGGGGGGTAATAATGGTACCTAGTTAATAAAGGTGTTTTGAGAATGAAATGAGCTAATATATGTAAAGCACTTAGAACAGTGCCTGTCATGTTGTAAGTGCTGTAAAAGTGTTAGCTATTATAGAACTGGGCACTTGCATAGAACTTCACATTCAATTTATCTAATTTTCAGCAAAAGATCCTGCAGGGAAGTTGTTATCCCCAATTTTTAGATATGAGGAAAGAGGCTCTGAGGAGTAAAATTACTCATCCTAGACTACTCAGCTAATAAGTAGGGAAGCCAGGATTGTGGAATTGAACCCCCTTCTTTTTTATTGGCGGCTGGCTGGTACGGGAATCCAGACCCTTGACCTTGGTATTACCAGCACCACGCTCTAACCAAGTGAGCTAACAGACCAGCCCTCCCATCCTTTCTTGATCCCTCATGCCCTGGCCTAGATATGAGCCCTCTCTCCCCATCTCAGGCCTTCAACGTGATCAATGGGGGCTCCCATGCTGGAAACAAGCTGGCCATGCAGGAGTTCATGATTCTGCCTGTGGGAGCCAGCTCCTTCAAGGAAGCCATGCGCATTGGCGCCGAAGTCTACCACCACCTCAAGGGGGTCATCAAGGCCAAGTATGGGAAGGACGCCACCAACGTGGGTGATGAGGGTGGCTTTGCACCCAATATCCTGGAGAACAATGAGGGTCAGTGCTGAGCACCCTGGGGGACATATCTCCTGGGTCCTCATGGGGAAGGGAGGCTGCAAAGACAGGGGGTGCTGGAGTCTCAGGTCCTTTCTTGCTCCTCTCTCAGCCCTGGAGCTGCTGAAGACGGCCATCCAGGCAGCTGGTTACCCGGACAAGGTGGTGATCGGCATGGATGTGGCAGCATCTGAGTTCTATCGCAGTGGGAAATACGATCTTGACTTCAAGTCACCTGATGATCCTGCACGGTACATCACTGGGGAGAAGCTTGGGGAGCTGTACAAGAGCTTCATCAAGAACTATCCTGGTGAGACTCCCAGGTGTTCTAGTGTTCCTGCCCACATACCCTGCAACTGCCTTATATACTGATTTCGGTGCCCTGCTTTGCCACAGATGTGGGTCCTTCCAACCCTTAGCCCCATGACAATCCCTATCCAAATTCTTCTGACCTGGGCCAGCCCGTGGCTCACTCGGGAGAGTGCGGTGCTGATAACACCAAGGCCACGGGTTCGGATCCCATATAGGGATGGCCGGTTCGCTCACTGAAAAAAAAAAACAAACAAAAAACCAAATTCTTCTGACCTGGGCCAGCCCGTGGCTCACTCGGGAGAGTGCGGTGCTGATAACACCAAGGCCACGGGTTCGGATCCCATATAGGGATGGCCGGTTTGCTCACTGAAAAAAAAAAACAAACAAAAAACCAAATTCTTCTGACCTGTTACCCCTCAATGAGGCCCCTTCTGACTTTGACTGTGACTCTGCTCCCAACCCTCACCAGTGGTCTCCATTGAGGATCCCTTTGACCAGGATGACTGGGCCACTTGGACCTCGTTCCTTTCTGGGGTGAACATCCAGATTGTGGGGGATGACCTCACAGTCACCAACCCCAAGAGGATTGCCCAGGCTGTTGAGAAGAAGGCCTGCAACTGCCTGCTGCTGAAGGTTAACCAGATTGGCTCCGTGACTGAATCCATCCAGGCGTGAGTGCCTCTCTTCTTCAGCTCTGCCCACTCCAGCTACAGTCTTGTCCACTAACTCCAAGTCTATCCTTCCCTTGGCACTTGACTCACCCATGTCTTCTTGACCTTAAGGCTTTGACTAACTCTTGGCCTGACCCCAAGAATTTTGCCATTGCAGCACTGCCATGTCCCCCACCCCCAGCCCATGCCATTCCTCTCACCCAGAGCCTGCCGTTCTCACCATCATCGCAGGAGCCCATATTCAACATCAGAAATCCCTCTTCTCTCCTACTTCCCAAAGAACATAGTCACTGCCTTTCCTGCAGTGTCCACTCCCCAAAACACAAGGGAAAAGCCCCATCCAGCCACTGGCTTCCCCTGAGGGGGTCTCATAAGGCCTCATCATATGTCCTCTCTACCCAGCTGCAAACTGGCTCAGTCTAACGGCTGGGGGGTGATGGTGAGCCACCGCTCTGGGGAGACTGAGGACACATTCATCGCTGACCTCGTGGTGGGGCTCTGCACAGGACAGGTACTTTTGGCTTCCTTCTACTGACAAGTTGTTCTTGGGGTTCCAGCCTCTTGCCCCTGAGTTGATGCCACCACAGGATGCTTTCTTGGGGCCAGGCCCAACTGCTTCCCTCCAAATTCTTCTTCCCTCCTCAGATCAAGACTGGCGCCCCCTGCCGCTCAGAGCGTCTGGCCAAATACAACCAACTCATGAGGTACGAGGGGTACAGTGGGCTTGGGCATTGGGGAGCTGAGGGTTATTGGATTGGAAGGCAGCAGTTCTGACTTTATCTGCATCCTAGGATTGAAGAGGCTCTTGGGGACAAGGCTATCTTTGCTGGACGCAAGTTCCGTAACCCAAAGGCCAAGTGAGAAGCCGGAGGCCTCAGGACCCCACTGGACAGACCCAGGCCTTTGAGCCCGTCTCCCTGAAATAAACTCTAGTTCCAACCAAGACAGTGGTGTGCTCCTTTGTGGGAGGGAGGGAGGACAGGCTGGTCTCTGGGTTAGGAAATCCTGACAGGAGGTGGAGAGATATGGATTGAAAGAGGGGAGGCAGACACAGACGTGTAACCTACTGGGACAAGAAGGAAGTGAGGGACTCAGAGACAGAATTTCACATTTTGGAAGGAGGTTGGGAGAAACAGATGCTGTGTGTGAAATAAAGCTGAAGAGGGGCTGATGAAACAAGGAACCAGCTCCAGGAGAAGGGGAGCGCAGTGGGGAACCGAGGGTCCCACCACCACCATGAAAGGGGAGCGGGAGCAGGCCTGCCTCTGAGTTGAAGTGAATGGTCTGCAGAGTGCACTGTGGAGTAAAGGTCCCAGTCCCAGTGAGTGCTCTGTAAGGATGAGAGTGGTAATGAGAGCAGCCGCCACTTCCAGGGAGCTTATAAGGATCTGGAACTGTTCTAAACATTTGACACATACGGACCTGTGTAATCTTTGGAACAGTCCCATCACGGAGTTATCATTACTATCCCTATTTTACCAGTGAGGGAACTGAGGTACCAACAGTTAAATACCTTACCTAAGGTAACAGTTAGCAAATGGCAGAGCCAGGATACAAGGCCAGGCCATCTGGCTCCAGCAACTGCACTTATAAATCCCTAAGATAGTGCCATTAACTGGCCACTTTTCACCTAGACAGACAGCTATTTTATACTGTTCAACCTAAAATTATTCCCCTTCTCTGCCAGTAGCTCCAAGACCCACCTTTCTGCTACAAACGAGGACTTTGGGTCAAACAGTGTTTATTGAATGTAAAGTAACCCCAGCCCCACGGGGAAGAAAACTCCAAGGAGATCAGCGAATAATACAGATTAAATACCCACCTGTGCATTCACACTCTCACACAAACACACACCACAAACATATCCAAGTTCCAACAGTGACATCAAACACCTGCGTCCCCCCAGCCTGAGTGACAGCTGGTAGGAGGTGCTTCAGAGGTGGGGCTCCAGGATGGGTTTTAATAGCAGCAGCCTTGTCCCTCCTGCCCCTGCCCTGCCCCAGGGGTCAAAGGGAGCTGGGTGGGGTGCCTAGGAAGTAGGCGGCAACTCTTCCCCGCTCTGCCGCAGACGCTTCTTGGCTCGGATTTCATTCATGGCCTCTTCGATGGAACGTGTGTCCCTCTTGTTGGCCACAGGCACTGGGGGCAGAGGAGAGGGTGGGGCGGGTCTAGGGGCTCTGTGCCCAGGCCTCAGCTCCCCTAACCCCCATCCTATGTCCCCCCAGCCCTCCCCCAGCCCCCACAGTGGCCTCACCACAGCCATAGGTCTTGTTGGCCTGTAGCATGTGGGCCGCATCCTTGGCTGCTCCCTTGCCAATGAGGTGGCTGTACTTGTCCTTGTAGTCACTGGCAGGGCTCACCACTACGGGGCCCTGCTGGGCTGCCTCCTCCTCCTGCCGCTGGGCCAGCTCCTACGGGTGCAGAGGTGGGATGCTGGTGCTCAGGGGCCTGACCTGCCCCCTCCCAGGTGGTGGGCTGCAGGGCTCCAGGGACTGCCGGGTATAGTTCACCTTTAGCTTCCGTTTCTCCTCAGCCTTCTGGGGGTCCCACTCCTCTCCACGACGGTAGGAATCCAGCTCTTCATCTGAGGGTGCAAACTCCTGGGGAAGAAGGGAATGATGAGGTCAGGAGTCCAGATAAACACTTAACCTCATTCTCCCCGGGGGCGGGGGGGTGCAGGGGCGGTGGCTGAGAAAGAGAGAGGTGAGGAATTTGGGCCTTTCACCTTTTTGAAGATCATGACATAGCGACACTCATCATCTTCCCCAAAGGAGAAGGACGTCAGGCCAGCCACTTCCACCACATCGTGTCTGGGAAGGGACAACATAGGGGAAAGAGTACATTGAGCCACAAGGGGACCTACTGCCCTCCTCTTGAGGAGTCCCCCGCTAGCCCTTACATGCGCTCTTCAGCCGCCACTTCCTGCCTCCCGCAGCCCAGAGACACTCACAGTATGCTCCTCTCTATCTTGTTCATCGGCTGAAACTTTTTCTTGATCTGCCCACTGTCTTGGATGAAATCTGACACCTCTTTCTCCATCTTGGGAGAGGGGAAACGGAAGACATGAGATGATGGCTCCACCCGAATATCCCTATCCCCAACTGTGCCAACTGCCCCTCTATGCCTCCCCAAACCTTCCCCAGCAGCCATGCCACTGGCTTTCACACTTCACCTCTCTTGAGACATTTTCAACAAAACTGAGTCCTCAACCTGCCAATTCTAACTTATTGGAAATCCTTCCTGAGGCTGCCTTCGATCTCTCCAGTTGTTCTTACCCTTTTCCGAAACTCCACTTTTTGTTGTTTCTCTTGCTCTTGAAGTTTCTTCAGGCGGGCAGCCTGCTCTGAGGGTAAGAAAAGGCAGCATAAGGCCAGGGCTGGCAGCATGGGAGGGGAGAGTTTGTAAGGCTTCAAAGGAAGTCTGGTTTCCACTGGGAGGCGTCAGGCTGAGAAGGTAGGATCACTGTTTATTCACCAAGCATTTATTGATCTTTATTGTATACCTGGCACTGCGCTAGGCCTTGGGGTACCAAGATAATTAAGACACAGCTTTGCCCTTCAAGATTTAACAGTTTAGTGGGAGTGACATAGATTGGAATCATGCTTAACCCCATTTCTCAACCCCACTGGGGAAATCAATTAACAAGCATTTATTTAATGCCCACAGGGGGAGAAGACAACACAACAATCACAATTCCTTGAAGTTGACACGACAAGCATACAGAAAGGACATTGTTGGGTGGGAGAGGGAGGAGGGGGGGAGGTTTTGGTAATGGGCCACAATAATCAACCACATTGTATATTGACAAAATAAAATTTAAAAAAAAAAATTTAATGCCCACGACATATAAAGAACTATAGGGCACCAGGGGAGGTGGCCTTAAAGAGTTTATAATTTCATAGTCTTCATAGGAAACGGGAAATTATTTAACTTCCTATATTCTGTAATACCCCCCCCTCCCCCTTCTCACTTCTACAGACAGGATGAAGCTGAAAAGGCTAATCTGACACGCTTCTCTTTTGGGAGCGTAGGTGTCTAAGGCGAGCTGCAAGGGAACTCTCCACCCTTGTGTCTTGTTTAACTCTCCTCCTCTTCCTCAGATCCTGCCTCTGCACCAGACCTCCTCTGTCTCTGTGAGGGGGCGGGGGGTATATTTCTTTCTTTCTTTTTTTTTTTAAAAGATGACCGGTAAGGGGATCTTAACCCTTGACTTGGTGTTGTCAGCACCACGCTCACCCAGTGAGCAAACCGGCCATCCCTATATGGGGTCCGAACCCGCGGCCTTGGTGTTATCAGCACCGCACTCTCCCGAGTGAGCCACGGGCCGGCCCAGAAAGCACTTTATTGAAGACCGCGAAGTGACTTAACTATCAAAATGAAGGCCATACAGCGTATTATTTGTCAAGTACATGGTTTGAAACACCCTTAAGGAATGTAAGTTAAAAGAAAGTGCGTGGGGTGTATAATTCCCATGATACATCAAGTTCTGGGGGCTGAAAATTCTTGGAATCAACTCCCATATGCATTGTAAATCAGGCTTGTGATTTTACTGTCTCTGAAGATTTGGGCATGGGCCCCTTACTACTCCTGCTCCTCAGCCTGAAATGCCCCATCCTCTTCTACCATTTCAAATCCTTTACATTCTTAAGTCCCACTTCCTCCATAGGATATGAATCCCCTGCAGCTGCTCCGAACCTCTTCCCACTTTCCTGTTACTCCATGCTTTGCACACATTGTTCCTTCTGCTTGGAATGCTTTTCCTCCTTTTGCAAATGTTGAGATTCACAGCGAGTCAGAGTTACTCATTTCTTCTTCTTGGTTCCAAGTGCATTTGGTTCAGACACCCACTATAGCACGTGCTTTGAACTAACATACTATAATTTTTTATTTGTTTGTCTCCCCTCCCAGACTGTAAGCTCCTGGAAGGCATAAACGTTGTTCATCTCTCCTCCAGTTATCCTGCAGCAGCCCTAGGGCCTAACAGCGGAGGAGCTCTCATCTCTCTGACCTCAGCGTACCCCATTTCGGCCACCGACTGTTCTATAACTGGTCTTGTTGTTTTTTCAAAATCCTTATATTTCTGACCACATAACTTATGTTCCCACATCAACAATCAACATCAACAGATGAACTCCATAAAATGAAAGTTTGTGCTGTTTGATGCATCACACAGTATGTTATGGTTAAATATATCCGCTCCTTTTTATATTCCTGGCACCTAGGATCTAACTGGTTTTTGAGTCTTCTCTGCTTCTGGGGAGGTGGCATAAGATTATGGTTAAGAACATAGGTTTAAAAGTCACACTGGGCTTGAAACTCTGCCACTTACTAACCGTGTGACCTCAGGCAAGTGACTGAACTCTGAACTTAAGCTTCCTAGCCTGTCAACTGCCGCTGGTGATCCCCAACCTAGACAGTCATTTGAGCATTAAATAATCCCAATGACCCGTTCCCATTATGCTCCCTCCTTCCGCAGAGCTTTCAAACACATACACTTCTTCTTTGTAACACTTTGCTCTCCTCTCCAGACCTCTGCTCACTAGCAGGCTAGGTTAGGACCCCCCGAGCAGCTGCTCTCATAGTTATTTTTTCCTTTAGAGTACGAATCAAGTTGGGGTATTAAACTTCTGTGTGACCATTGCATCAGTGAGCATCTCAGCCCCGGACTGTGGGCTCTTTGAGGGTACCCCTGTCCCCTGGCAGGCGTTCATTAAATAAGGGACATATTTAGATATTAAGCAGCCCCTGAGCACTCTGAAGACATTCTGCCTGCCCTGGGAAATCTGTGCCCGGGACGGGGCTCGTCCACAGTCAAGGCGGCAGGGTTGGGAGCTGGAATCCCGTGCAGGGCAGTCACTCCGCCGGCTCATTCATACGCCGCAGCGCGAACAACGCTAGAGGGGCCTCCAGCGCCGGCCGGGACGCGAACTACACTGGCCGCCG